TTCAGCCTTTTGAAAGGATTACGCCAAAAGTGTGTACGTGTTTTGATTTCTGTCAGGGACCTGGTGGAAAATTGATAGACGATGGTAGCCTTGTCTACAGAACGTACAGAAAGGAAGTTACCGCCAGGTTATGAAGAAGCTATGCGTTACACTATTTCACCTAACCAGGATTGCCTGGAAGCTTTTATATATCACTGCGAGCGTCGTGTCATCGGAGAGATTGTTCAGTGCCAGTGGGCACACTGTCTCCTCTCGTCGATCATTGCTTAAGCCAGACAAAATAAATAGGCTGACATTCTTAAATTTCAATCTGAAGTGAACAAAGATGTCAGCTATTCATGAATGATCAATGCTACAAAATCTGCTAAAGAGAATCCCATTGCATTAGAATCAAATATGAAGATATATGTTTGTGGTTGCTTCTTCTGTAAATATTCTTCTTGTTCGGTTATTAACAATAATAATAATAATAAATTTTGACAGAATCCAGAGATGGATATGCAATGTGATTTGTTCTGATCTGGCATCTCGTCTACAGTCACTTTCTCGCAGATTATTTTTCAGTATTTTCACGGCAACTGCTCCGACGAGCTACTTTCGCTGGTTCCCAAACTGCATAAATTTAAGAGTGCTACTAGGTTGGCATCTCGGCCCCACCCTTTCACCCTTAAAACCGTTAAATGTAGCCGTCTTTTCTACTCCAACAGCTTCTTATCTCGCACTTCCCGTGTGTGAAACTCCTTTCTTTTAACTTGTTTCGTTGATAGCTATAATCTTCAAATGTAATGTCAATCGATATCTTCTCATGCCATGATCTTGATCCCAGTCCTTCTCTTTATCCTTTTCTCAAACACCCCTTGCTCTCCCTCTCTGTAACCCCTTGCATGCTAGTAGCACTCCCACCTTGCTTGTGTTGAAATGCTTTAAAAAGTCCAAAATACAGATTCTTTGATAAATATCCAGAAACAAGAGACCATCTTGTACCAGGTTTCGTGATATTGGAACCCACTGAATATAAAATACGCCTCGACAAAATGGACTGAATATCTGCACTGGAAAATCTGCAAAACTTACGGAAAAGAAACTGCAAGAAATTGGTATGAACACCACCCAGACCCGGTTACAGAGATAGAACCTGAAACAATTTTATCGAACTTTATAATACACACAGACAGGAAAAATCAAATCTAATTGCCGACACATTGTGACTAGAGACCGGAAAGACAAAATGTGCCTTTTTAGTGACATGACAGTCCCTGCAGGCTGCAATGTATCATTGAAGATCTTCAAAAAACTGTCAAAATACAAGGACCTTGAAATCGAAATCTCAAAAACATGGCGCATGAGGACATGAACAATTCCAGTTGTAGTTGAAGCCCTTGGATTGATTGGAAAAGATTCTGATAGACCCATTGAAAGGATTCCCGGTAGCCCATGCCTTAAAGAAATACATAAATACAAATACAGCCTACACCTTACGAAAGGCTGTATCTATGTAAAATATGTTCGATTTCTTCTCAGAGGAAAATGTTATGGTGCCATTTTTGACCTTAGGTCTCTGATCGGGACCCGGAAAGAAATGTGTATACACCAGAAACCAAATGAAATATAATAATAATAATTATTTTTTTTTTAAGCATTTAACCCCAAGCAAGGCGGGAAACCACTAGCACGCAAGGGGTTACAGAGAGTTGGAGTGAGTCCAAATAGGAGTGATAAATGAAAGGATGAAGAGACGGTTAGGGGATAGATCAAGGCATCTGGAGACGTCGATTTACATTACATTTGAATAGTTGGAAATTATAGCTATCAGGGAAACAGGAAGAGGGGAGGGAGTTCCACAGGCGAGAGGTACGAGACATGAAGCTATTGGAGTAGAAGAGACGGCTACATTTAACAGTTTCGACAGTGAAAGGGTGTGAGCGAGATTACAGCCTAGTAGAACGCTTAAATTCAAGAAGTCTGGGAACCAGCGAAAGCAGCTCATCGGAGCAGTTACCATGAATGTATTTGTAAAAAAGACAGAGGAAGGCAACGGCACGTCTGTGAGAAAGCGATTGCAGACGAGATACCAGGTCAGAGCCAATTACGTTGCATATCCGTCTCTAGATTTTATCAAGAACCTTGAGACAATTAGAAGGGGCTCCAGACCATATATGGCAGCGATAATCCATGCAAGGGCGAATGGTTGATTTGTAGATTTGAAGGATCGACTCCGGCGAGAAAAATTTCCTGGCGTGGCACAGGAAGCCAACTTTTCTTGTGGTGGACGATGCTATTGTATCAGAATAATAATAATAATAATAATAATAATAATAATAATAATAATAAATTATTGTTTGCAGCGTACAATTGTAAAGGTTAATTGTTCCTATAAAAGATAGATCTACTTAACAGCAGTATTAGATTAGTGACAAGATCTGATCATTTTACGGTCGAAATGGATAGATGTAACCGTAAGTTCCTTGCCGACGGTTTCTTTCCTCACGCCTCGTTTCTAGAAATCTCTTCCGACTCCTTGCTTTCCAGTCAACTTTGACCTTCAAAAATTTAAATGCAATGTCAAGCGTTGCCTTCTGTCTTCTTAATTTTTTTTTTTTTATTGTTCTTGCTGCTTAATAATTTTTTTTTTTTACTTTTATTATATTTTTTCACAATCAGTAAACCCTTTGAGTCTTAGTGGCTTTGTTGCCTTACTTGGCGTGAAGTAATTAAAAAAGATAAAAAAAATATATTTACTTTTTATATTCTATATAATGAAGATAATATTTTTGTTTTTATAGAGAAATATATTTTTAGTTTCGGTGACAGTTAAGAAATTCATCAAGCTAAACATTCGTCTTCAGATTGTTACAAGGGAACCAAAAAGTCTTTGCCGTTTTTGATTTATAAAAAAAAAGTATGCAGCAAATTAGACATATCGTTCGACCTCAAAATAATCTCCATCAATATACAGAAACTTTTGCCAAAGTGCCTCGAGCTGCGCAATGCCCTGATGGTAAAATCACGTGTCTTGGACGCAGAGAGGTCTGTGAGTGCTTACCGCAAGGATTTCTCACGAAGGAATGGAAAAAGTGGTAATCTGCTGACGCAAGGCGATCAGATCCCGACTTCATGTTTCGTTTTTCTAGGCGTGTATACCTATAGGATGTGTCATTTTCGAATACTTTTTAATTAATCAAACATTATGATGATATCTGAATAGCAGAAACAACTTATTAAATTTTGTTGAGTTTACCTTATAAACTCTATCATAGTCTAAAATTATATTTTTGTGACTTTTTTTAATCAGTTCAACCCAAGTAAGGTAATAATGCCACTAAGACACAAAAGACTACTGGGAAGGAAAGAAATTGTACAGACTTTAGAAGGTACCGGAAACCCAATCCTAAACAGGAAAAAATGGATAAACCTCTTCGAAAGATCCGGGAGGAGTGTGAACCGGACGATAGGCGAATCTGTCTACTCCTATTAAGGAGGAAAAAAGCAATAAGTAAATAAAATTGCAGAGTTCAGATGGAGACGTCAGAAACAATGAGCTGAAGTAGACTTTACAAGGAACAGGAAACCCAATACTAAACAGGAAAAAAGGGATACACCTCTAATCCTGAACAAAGGAGGTATGTGAACCGGGTAGAATGTTTCCTCTTTAAAATAAATCTTTCATTAAGTTGTCTTAATATCCTTATTCTAGTGAAAAGTCAATACCATTTTGTTGTAATGACATTCAAATTACTCACCATTGGAAAAGATTTTCTTTTCTTACCCCACCTAACATAGCGCAGTAGTTTATTAATGGTCCGCATACTTAACAGACTCATAAACAAAATTATTGTAGTTTTTTTTTTATCAAAGTACAATTTTTATACTATATATTTCTTGGCCAAAGAAACAAGTGCTAAACTGTGGTCCTGCTCTATGGCAATAATTGCTGAACAATTTCTTCACAAATGAAGAGAAGCCTGAGAGCAACAGTGATGTGATAATTAAAAAAAAAGAACACTATTCCATTTTTATCATAATTACTTGTGTTAAATTGGCCCGAGGCTAAAATATCAAAGCATCAAACAAGAACGGTGATGAATCAGACAAACTAAATATTTACAGGAGAAAGAGGGCTAATATCGAAATCTTGCTGTAACTTCATTTATTATATTACTTTTTCAAATAGACAAAATTCAGATCAATAATTATCGATACTGATCCCCATCACCACTGATTGCATGTTAGCTGTACAAGCTGGTCTGGTTTGTTGGGCTGATATAAAATGCAACACACATAGAAAAATGAATTCTGAATGTTTAATTATTATACTGTATTTCGCATAATTAACCGCTTTTAGATTTTCATAATTTTTAGCAAAATATTCCGGAATTCTCGGAAATATTTGCTCTGTAAACGAACAGATTTCACATAATCTGCATAAACTATTGTAGTCTCCATATCACTCTTACGCAGAATTTATGAAATTTATTATATACAGTACCAAATAAGACGTTTTTATAAGTTTTTTTTTTATTCAGTGTCTATAATTTCCTGTGATATTATTGTTGTATCTCGAATCGTTCGTCGCCAACTGTTGTATTTCGTGTTTTAGAAATAACAGCGGAAAATAAATAAGGAAGACAAACTCGTAGGTAAGTGATGAAAAAGAAGTTTCATTACACGAAAGTACAATTAGCAATTAACTTAATGCATGCTAACTCGGAATTTACCCGAGATCCCCAAAGAACGGGGTATTGCACAAGGCCGGTTTAACGTGGGTTTTTCTGAGCCCGTAAGACAAGGCAAAAATTCCACGTAAAATACATAATAACGGGGTTAGGTTTGTCTTCCTCCCCAAACAAGACTCTACCTTTTGGCATAGCCTCGTCTGGGTTCCTCTCTGCCCAAAGACAGAGAGTTCGACAAGCACTAGGAGCATAGCACGTGCCTAAGACAATGCTGATTCTTATCAGTTCGGCTTAACTTCGCTTATTTACACAACCGGACGATTCCATTCATTTATCTCTTTTATGATAGATAGATAGATAGATAGATAGATAGATAGATAGATAGATAGATAGATAGATAGATAAGGGCAGACTCATTCTTTTATGTCCTATATGATAGATAGATAGATAGATAGATAGATAGATAGATAGATAGATAGATAGATAATGAGCAGACTTATATACAGCTACTTTCTGAGATAAATGTTTAAAAAGGCTCCGAGTGAATAATGCCGGTAATGGTAATGATAAGAGAAGCTGTTTCCTTATAAAGAAACATTTGTCGTATATTGATTGAGTACTGCTTTCGGTTTCAATTTATAAAATCTTTCCATTAGAACACTTTAATAGGAAAACAGATTTCTTAAGTGGAGTCGCTGTTATGTCTCTTTCCAGTATTGATGGAGGCTTCCTTTTTTATATGAATTTAATTACATTTTCAAAGCTTCACCTTATTAACATTATTATTATTATTATTCTATGTACCACGTCACTTCAATACGTGGACGATCATGGCTCTCCAAAACTTCCTATTGTTTGTAGCCCGCCATCTATTCACAGCTTGTCAGGGTAGGTGGTTCGCTGCTCCTTCCCTTATTTCTCTTGCCCTCTATACGCCTTGTGAGGGTTAAGTTGCCTCTTTGTGTGTCCAAGGAATTCCAGTTGACTTTTCGTTATTCTGATCATAAATGTTCTTTTTGTTCTCATTTTCTTTAAGACTTCTTCGTTGCGTATTCCATCCGTCCATATAATCCTCATTATCCTTCTGTAGAGCCACATCTCACTTCCCTGCTCATACGTGGGTAGATTGTCTAGCATTCACTTTCATATAAGAGAATGGATATCCCATAGCAATCAAGCACTCTTTTCTTTGTTTCTAACGAAATCTTATTGTTTCTCAGTACTTTGCACTGCTTCTGGAATACCATTTTTGTTAGTCCAATGCTTGTTAGTATTTCGGTATTACATTGTCTATTCTTAAAACACCTTCCAGATATTTAAGACGCTTATTAACCAGGTTACTGAAACTCGAAGATATATGATGTTGCGATTGAAATTTGAAATTACAGAACGTACGCAAAGTTTATAAAGAAAAATATTTTAATGCAAATAAAATTGAAAACAGTCCATTGTAATAATAAGTTTTGAATAAAATCATTAATGGGGAATATATGCACAATAGTTTGAAAACTATTTTTACTCGTTTATCCATTGATTTTTGTGATTTTCTCATATGAAAGACACCATTCATGTCATTCAGAATAGCATTCAAAAAGAATTCTTTGCTGGAAATTGCCGTCTGCTATTGCGAGCCTTCCTTTTTACAATACTCCACAAGTTTTCAATCGGGTTATGATCGGGCGAACAAATTATCCAATTCATGAAACGAGTGTCTTTGAAACCAATCTTATTCAAATATCCATTAGCCGAATTCCTTTTCTTGAAGCGTTTCGTTTCTTCTTCAACCATGCCATCATGTGTGCCTTCAAAAAATCAATGTAGATCTGAGTTGCCATCCTAACACTATCCGGAACGAGCTATTTCATTACCTAAAATCCCACCCCAAAACATAGCTCCACCTCTTTCTGAGTGACATCTCCATCAGTATGCCTCCCCCATAAGTACGCAGTATTTATGCCATCTTTCTGCTCCATCGGAAGTATTCCGACATTTTCTCTAGAAGTAGTAGATATAATGGACTTCACTTGTTTTAATTTCTTAAATGAAGAACAGTTTGAAGTCGATTTTCATTTATTGTCTTGTTAATTCGATTTTATCGTTGGATGTTTTAAAGGAGGTTTACTGATTGGTCTCATATGCCATGCCACTTGATTTAAAATCCGATATTTTATGCTGTTCAAAACTTGTTCAGGTCTACAAAAGCCTAATAATTTCATAGTTTGACAAATATTTCTTTTTAAATTCTCTCTTGATACGGGACATATGTTAACGTAATAATATCATCAGACTTGTATTGGAGTCGTTCAAAATCTTCAACAAACCTCTTTATAATTTAGTTGTACCTACCTCCTGACAATGTTTGTAATTTCCTTCATTCTTTTACATTATGTAAGCTCTGAAAGTATTAAACATTTTTCATTATCTATCAAATCGGAATTACAATCCATTTTAGAGCTTCAAACTCGCAACGTTGTTATTAATTTAATTCTTCAAAATTTAGGATATTTCATTCAAATGGTTACCGTTTGTTTATATCTGCGCAAAGAGAAGCAACTTTCATCCCAACTGCGCAGATCAATATTGCCAGCATCTAGTAAATAATTCTGTAGATTCCAATAATTATTTCTTATATAAATAACATATGAAATGTCTAATAATGCGTATCTCTTTTTAAGCTTATGTCTTTTGTTTTGTGTTTGTTTTAAAGCAGGCCGTCATTGAACACTAAGTGATCCCAGAATGAAGCTCTTAGAAATGCGATGAAAATGCAACCGAAATAAAATCCAGGAAAAACAACAAATAAATTAATGTTAAAACTTAGTAATTTACAGCTTATTCTCTGTCGAAAGGGGTTAAACTTTTAATACCATCGAAATCCCATATTGAATTGAATGAATTGTGTCACGTAACGAAACTTGCTGCGTAACTTCGTTAAAGGTGAGTTAATCAGCAAAGAGCTCTGCAATAATCTTTGGATTAAGCTAAACTTGAAAGTCGCGCTAAATTTAGTTTCACATTATCACCCTGTGTAATTCATTGTGGCAATTTTTCTCCTAACTCCGTTACGTTTGTCATGCTGTCTTTAGCGCTTCTCAGGGAAGTCTTATCCGTCAGATGACAGAAATCCTTCGTTTACTTCTTTTTTTTTTCACATTTATTATAGTTCTTCATTTGCACTCTCTTAAACCGACCTTTTTTTTCCTGCCGGTCTGAAATTAATTTAATATCTTCAGATGCTTAAATCCTCCTGGATTCTATCGACGGCTTCGCTAAGTCTCGTTCATTGTGGTTTAACGTCACATTCTCAGCACAAAATCAATCTCGCCTTTCTTTCTTTCGACTTTGTTACGAGGAATCACAAAAGGTGTAACGTCATTTTCACAGTCTCACCGTAAAGAATGACAACAATGCGGAAAGTGTCGACCTACGCCCCTCTTCCGATGATTTCGAATATTATTGATTAAAATCATAGCAGCGAGAGGCACTCGAACACACACATAAGAATAAACAGATCCTCCGACAAATAAAGGGAAATCATATATATATATATATATATATATATATATATATATATATATAGTCGACTCTTCCATAGAATTCGACGTATGAGGGTCAAGCAGATCAGTTCCCAGGGAACCGACAACAGCACATGAAATTTGATTATAGTGGTGAAGGTTTCGTGCAGGACCATCCACACTTTTTGAAGGGCCGAATAGAGAGACCTGGTGCACTACGTGCCACAAGGTTCCCAAACGACCCTCCGCAGGTTTTGAATCCTAGACCAGTTTCCATCCAAGGTTATATAACCCAGTCTGTCTTGCTATTTACCCATAGCTGGAGGGAGAAGAAGAGGATTCACATCTTTCCCAACGTTATTAGCATGTAAGTGAATGCAATGGATTCGACTGGAATTCAAACTCGTCTTTCTGATTCCTCAATCCAAGCCGCTATCCATTACTCCATTGTGCCACCTTATATATATATATATATATATATATATATATATATATATATATATATATATATATATATATATATATATATATATACACTTTGAAGAATGTAATGAAACATTCCTAATCTAAAATAGATCGATTAACATGGTCATCTTTCATCAATTCACACTTAATTCACCTTCTTTCACTGAGGATCACCATGACCAAAAAGAAGAAAATACAAAATTTAAACAATTGTGGCACTGCAAAGATTTTCAGGCAGAATATTACTTGTTTGGACGAAAATGAAGACAGCATATTTGGAAAGCACCGGATATATATATATATATATATATATATATATATATATATATATATATATATATATATATGTGTGTGTGTGTGTGTGTGTGTCATACCTCCAATTATTCAATCTATTTCTCTCTCTCTCTATCTATCTATCTATATATATATATATATATATATATATAACAGAAAAATAATTAAGCATTAATATTTGTGTTTGTTTAAAATTTTGGTCTATTTATTAAGGAGGGGTGTTCAGCATTGCAGAATGTCGACATGAAAATTAAAACTTCATGGTCACTGTCAGTTTCACACCTTAATCGGACTTCAGGCTTGAAACAGACAGTCACCTTGCATTTTTTTATTCTTTTGTCTACATTATCTATCAATATATTATTCAATCTATTTCTCTCTCTCTTTATCTCTCTCTCTCTCTCTATCTCTCTCTCTCTCTCTCTCTCTCTCTCTCTCTCTCTATATATATATATATATATATATATATATATACACGATGTCTGTCGGAAAAGTAACCGAGTACTGGGTCTGTGAATAAACTACATCCACCTCTTAATTGCTGTTGCACCAAGGTTCACCCAGGCCCGGGGTGGTAGCATCTGTTAGGGTCCCAGCTATAGGCAAATATTCAAACCATGAGAGTATAAAAATAATATTTCTATATAAAAAATGCCAACAATACCTATTTATAGTATAATTACCAACAATACAGTTTTAAAGAAAATGACCAGTAATATATTTTATAACAAAATTACCAACAATACATTTTATAGCAAAATGACCAACAATATATTTCATCTGTAGTTGAAGGCATACAATTGTGTTCAAAATATTTAGATTGCAACATTAAATAACCCATAGAGGTTGATATGCCGCTAAATAAATTCAACCTAACTTGAGAAACGCACACACGAACACAAACATCGCCGACTGAAACAACCTCCCTCTTCCCATAATTTTGCTCTGTGTGGCTTTGCACTTTCATGTTTCAATACTATGTTTGTACTTCTTCAGGCGATGCTAAGTAACTGGTGATTAAATGATTTTTTTAAAATTACGTATTACCATTTCTTATAGGCATAATTTATTACTATATAATGGGTCCATCCTCTACGGGTAATTTTGTTTATTCAGCTTAAATATTGCTGTGTATTGTCGTCCAGTAATTATTATTAATATTGTAAATAGATATCCCACATTTGTAATTTTATTTACCGCCCTCTATAAGAAGCTTCCTAAATATAATTTTTTTTTTAAATCTGTTAACTTTACATCTGATAAACCCACCCCTCCCTTCAACAAACTGAACATGTTATATTTGTCTGCAATCAAGATACATCTGTCGCTGTCATGTTCACCGCAAATGTTAATGATACCATTGTCTATCTGCTGGTTTAACGGGACATGAAAAAATAACTCACCTACCTTCACCCTCTGAGATTACTTACTGAAATTTAATTAATTAATCAAGACATATCTAAAAATCTATTTTTAAATCTGACCTTATGTCCCCCCGCTCGTTTAACTTTCGGAAAGTGGTTACACTTTGTTTTTAAATTTTACCTAAAAATTATTCAATCACCAGTTACTTACCATCGCCTGAAGAAGTACAATCATAGCATTGAAACATGAAAGCTTTTGTGTAGCGATTTCAAGGTGTTTTTGTTATAATCTCTTTTAATAAAAATAATAATATATTGCTTTACTTTGTATTGAGCACTTTTTTAAAAGTAAATGCTACGAACAGTGGTATTTTACTCCATCTGTTCTTTCTCTCGTTTCGATACATACATATATATATATATATATATATATATATATATATATTGAAACATGTTTCATTGAATAATTTAGACAAGTTTTCTCTACTTATTTTCAATTGGATCCTTTCATATTCATGGACAAGCTTTTTGGTGTCATTATTAAAGGTGGAAAGAAAATCGCCATTGAAAAACGTATTATAACCGAGATATTATAACAGAGAAAATCGCCACGTTGATACATATTATTTTATTCCGAGTACTTTCGACATAGAACAATGTCATCATCAGGGTTTTGTTTATTTCGAGACAAATATTGTAGTGTTCATCATTTTCAAAGACAAAATTGCTGTGTTTATCTGAAAGTTAAATTTTTACTTGTGAAGTGAAGAACGCTAAGTGAATACTGTGACTGGCTTGACTAATCCTTCAGGGGAGGTAACTTATTATGGTGTTGTCAAGCGTTTTAAGAAATAAGTATTAAAACTATTAGTACAAACCTTGATATTTTAAGCTATCAACTGTGAACATGTTAAAACAGTCGCAATTCAGACATTTTCATGAAACTAAAAAATCTGGCAGCTATCTATATTAAAAAATTGTGACCAAACCTTAATAAAATTAATTATGAATACTGCACAAATATAGAAAAGGCATAGGGAAGCAACTGTAGGGCGGCGGGAAAGTGACTGGTGCCGGGTCATGACCAATAATATTGCTGATTCTTCTTTGGATTTTATCAAGAATCTCTAAATATATAACAGGAGCACAAGACTGGCAGCAATATTTAATGCAAGGATGAACGGTAGATTTATATGTAAGACACAAGACACACAGCGAGGGAGCGTTAACTGATGCTGTCAACTCTTTTGCATAGTCTTAGTAGCTGAGAGTATTCCCTGGCAGAAAGCATGCTACTCAGACTGTAGGCAGAAATTAGCGCGTAGTATCTATTTTCACCCCCTCTTCTGTGTTTTTACCTTCGGGAAGTTCAGTAGTAAGCGACGCCTAGTCACAGGAATGTCAACCCTGTGGCAGTACCTCCTTCATTGCGCTAAAGAGAAGAGATTTCTGGATAACATGCTAACATGAAATTGGTCGTGGAGGGTGGGTAATTTTTGTACACACATGGACACCCCACTTTACACAAAGCATATGTCACATCCTGCCACCGTATGTGTGTGGAGGAGGGGTAAATAAATACCGCTGTCTATATTCATCCCCCATTGTTGAAATCGAGTTTTCTTTTATAGGCAGAGTGTTTGCATTCAATGTCGGACCATCTTACACAGATTTGAATTCCTGCTTTTTTTTCTTCCCAGAGACACCATTTCAGCATTAAAAAAACGGATTGAATTCAGAGTTATCCTTGATATTGACAATCACAGTTAGAGTCCAGTCTGCCCTGCTATTTAACCCATAGCTGGGAGCCAAGAGGTGGATTCATACCTTTCCCAAGGGAATTTATGCAAAAGTGTCGACTGGAATTCGAACACAAATCTTCGATTTCTTGTGCCAGACCGTTAACTTGCATATTGTGTAAATTCTAATATTTTTTTTAAAATATTCTGTATAAAGCAACAGAGTTCTGACATCCAACCTCAAAACATCATTCATGTGTTCGCAATTCTCTGGATCAAAACGAAATAAAGAAATTCTTCCAAGCCACTTCATTAACTCTGATTTCAAAGGTTTTATTTGATGACATCGAGTAATTATGGAGCTGCCATTTTCGGTGTCTGATGAAAGAAAAGGCTGATTAAAATAGACATTCGACTATAATGAGGCTAAAATCACGAAAACTAATCAACTGCATCGCTCCATTCCGAGTCTCATCTCATGAAGCTCAAATCATACAATTTCGATCGCTCTGCACTGGATTCATTACACTATAACATCAGAAGCTTTTCGGATTTCAATCCTTTATCCGTGAAACATAATAGACGTGACTTTAGCATATGAATCTTCTTTGTTATAAATAACTGCACGCACCAGGAAATACATGTGAGCATCAAATCGCTATAGTTCAGATCGGATCACCTTTTCCAAGGAAAAGGAGAAATTCTTTCACGACTGTTAAATTTGACGTTGGCTGTGTAAAAACAATGATTCTCTATTAATTAACTCCGACTTAAAAGATAAAGAAATAATAAGTATTGACTATAAAAAAAAGGAATGTCTCCATCGATAAAAAAAAACAACATTATTACTATGAAGAAGTTCGAGAGAACTAAATGCTTTACATAGATCTTTTTATATTGTAGAAATTTTCCCGGTTGCGTAGGGGGTGGTACGGCAATGAGAGTGGAGGGATCACAATCGAAAGTTTAAAATAACTGCTTAACAGCTTTTATTTGCGGTTGAAAAAGAATGCAAAATAATGGTATTTTTTGCAGGAAAAAGACTTTGGTTTCCAGTTAACGAAGTTCTTCTTTTGAGTACATGTTTTGTAGAGAGGGATTCCTCCGCTTGTTCCCACGTGAGGAAGAGAAATCTTAGCGTGAAACTGTCTTCTGCAACAAGGCTTGTGTGTAGTTTTTTTTTTTTTTTTGGGTAGTTGTCTCGAAGGGAGATTTCTTCGCCTGTTCCCACGATGAACGAGAAAATCTAAGCTGCCAGGAGAAAATAATTTGGTGATATAAATTTTCCGAGGACCTGTACTTATGACTAATATATACATCAAGCGTTACGAAGAATAATTTCTAGACACTTCATAAAATTAAATAAGTGTGGGGTAACAGATTAAAAAAAAGAAAATTATCAAGATTTTCTAAAAAGAGAAACATTTCAAAAATAATTCCCTTCGTTGGAAATCCTGAAAAATTAATTCAAATCAAAGGATTATCTGATTTTTGCAAGAATTTCAAAATCAAATTGATTTCATCGTAAAAAGACGCTGAAATTAACCGGACTAATTTAATGGCACCACGTTGACGCCAGAAAAACAATATTTTAAACCAAATTGTCAAAGGTTCTAAAAAGGATTAAAAAATAATTTTGCATCAAAAAATCATTTGATCTTTCCTCTTAATTATAACACGAAGATTTTGCTGATAAAACTGTTTTTATTAAGTTTTCTATATTCTTTAACATATATGCCCTTTTGGGACGTTTCTACGTAAGAATCATGCCCGCTGTACCATCAAAACATTATTATTATTATTATTTGTGTATGTTATGTTTCCTGCTTTGTATCCTGTAGAGCCGCGTCCAAACTATGGTCCTTAGGCCCATAGGAATGTCATTTAATTGATAGCACTTTTCTTAGTATATGGTATGATCCTAGTAGGGCGATCTTCTGGGCAACTTGTATCTTGATGTTACCTGGGACACTGTTAGTAAAGTTGTCCATTCCTTTTCTCACGAAGCCCAGTGCTCCGATTACTATTGGTACAGTCTCAGTCTTCATTCCCCACATCCTGTTAATCTCGATCTCCAGGTCCTTGTATTTGGACAATTTCTCGATAATTTTTACGGAAGTGTTTCTTTCAGATGGTACTGCTATGCCAATAAGCATACACTTCCTGAATTTCTTGTCTTTTATGACGATACCAGTTCTGTTGGCTGTTATTTTCCTGTCATTATTATTATTATTATCTGGACTCGAGCAGCGATCCCACCCACCAAACAAAGCGGTCACACTCGAAATATATACAGTTACTTCAACATAGATAGATAGATAGATAGATAGATAGATAGATAGATAGATAGATAGATAGATCGTCAGTCAGTCTGACATCTAAGGCTCAACACCCCTGTCTACCTCCCATTAAGGAAAAGAGATAGATTTGTTTATTTGTGTGAAATTTAATGCAACAAACGTGGTTGGAATTTGAATTCAACTCACCGTTCACTTCCGATAACCCCTAAGCTATCCACGCAGTCTCTCTCTTGCTTCCTTCCCGCTCCCCCTCTCTCTCTCTTTCTGTATATATATATATATATATATAGAGAGAGAGAGAGAGAGAGAAAGAGAAAGAGAGAGATGGGAAGGGAGAGAGAGTGGGGGTAGATAGATTGATAGGGAGTAGGTAGGTAGGTAGGTAGTTAAAATGAGCAGAAAGCGATAGATAGATAGATATGAACAGATAGATCGATGGATAGAAATGAACAAATAGATAGATAGATAGATAGATAGATAGATAGATAGATAGATAGATAGATAGATTTACCTAAGTATATACATGTGTGAGGTGAGAGTGAAAAAAAAAAGGAACTTGTTTTGCATCGTCTACATACGAGAGGTGAGTGAAGATGTTCATTTTACGCGTTTACCTGCAATTATCTCAGCTCCGCGAATGTGCACGTGATGCCAAAGTGACTTGTGGATATGCACACTTTGTCCGCTAGACATTTTGGTCAAGATAACCTTGAGGAGAACAGAGGCTCCACATTGCGAAAGATCCAGTCTTATTTTGCTTTACGTGGAGGCGTGAATCGGGCGGCGAACGGTGCATATTTGCTGGTCGAGTGGCTCCTTTTCATTAAACGGCGTGGCTTCAATTCAAAGAACGGTTGCTAAGCGGACAGGCGCCGGTATATATGCTCATGGGATGGACCGATCAAACAGAACGTAACGAACTTCTCCCTCCTCAGCGGCCTTTTCGAATCTATGATGTAATATGTATTTGTGCTTCATTAGGCATGGTTGTTAGCAAAAGGATGAGCCCAAAGTGCGAATGGCAAATCGGAGATACCAAAATCAAACAAAGGCGGAAATTTAAATATCTAGAAATTGTTTTACCTGGGGGGGGGGGAGTGTGACACTGAAATCCGAAGACGTATTGGGATAACAAAGAAAAAAGAATTCCAAAAGCTAAGAAGAGTAATAAGAATTAGAAATCTTCGCTAGCAGCAAGGAACAGAGTACTAAACTGTTACGTGATATCTGTCCTTCTCTTTGGCAGTGATTGCTGGACGATCTCCTTAAAGATGAAGAGGAGATTTGAAGCAGCAGAAATGTGGTTCTACAGAAGGATGCTGAGGATACCATAGATCGAACATGTGAACAAAAACGAAGTTTTAAGAAACAAAAAGGAAACGTGTACTTAACATCGGGAAGAGACAGTTGAGGTTTCTAGGGCAAAAAATGAGGAAAGAGGGCTTGGAAAATTTAATACTCACGGGATAGACTGATGGCAAGAGAGATAGAGGAAAACAGTGCATAACCTATCTAGATAGCTTGATTAAATGTATGGCGGAACAGGGTTTAGGAAAAATAAGACAGAGACAAAATTTATTAAGATCTAAAAGGGAGAGAAAGTTGTGGAGAACCATGATCGCGTACGTTCTGAGGAGAGTTGGCACATAAAGAAGAATCAATCTCTGTTCTGTCTTTCTGTTTGTCTCTCTCTTCCTATCTCTCTCTCTCTCTCTCTCTCTCTCTCTATATATATATATATATATATATATATATATATATATATATATATATATATATATATATTGGTTCCGTGTGCATATATGCTTATACACTATACATTCTGGGATACATGTCTGTGTACGTGTGTTTCTCGTGTAGTTACAAGTGTACTGACACATTATTATAATTGCAATAGTGTGCACATGCACACACACATACGTACACACTTCCACACACAATTGCAAGATGCAAAATAATTAATGTATATGAATGATTGTGGTCGTGTAAGGGTGTGCGTACACGGGTGTTCATTTATAGCAAGCATATATGCACACACTTCACACTGACACTCCCACATAGATATGTTCGTGAGTATATATGCGTATGTGTGCTTAGTACCTTATGGTATTTTCAATTACCTATACATAAAGATATACATATAGAAATATTTTCGCATATATATATATATATATATCCCAATGTAAAAGGCCGAATAGTATAATTCCAGTGTTCAAAACATTAATTTAAAACAGCGCATCAATGCAAATGTAGAGCAATAAATATTTATTTATTATGCAGTGTTACATTAGAACATGCATATGCCCACTACAAAACTGTACATCTTGTTTCAACGTTAACAATTAACGTTTCTTCAGGTGGGAAACCATGATAGTACTGCATCTGAAGAAACGTTAATTTTAACGTTTAAACAAGATGTACAGTTTTGTAGTGGGTATGTACATACATGTTCTAATGTAACAATGCATAATATATATATATATATATATATATATATATATATATTACAATCTATCTTTCTATCTATTGCAATTGTCAATTGTCTCTCGATCTACCCATCTGTCGCGGTCTGTTCGTTATCTAACTATACATATCTATCTATCGTAATGTGTTCATTATATATATATATATATATATATATATATATATATATATATATATATATATATATATATATATTCAGTTTTATGGATATTAGTTTGTAACCCTGTGTTTCACGCTTTTGCGATCATCAGACAAACTGGTTTATTTTTTTAAAAAAGTGAATCTATTTATGCATATATTGTTTGATTACTTGTGTGTAGTGGAGGGGATGCATTTTCTTCTGTGTTTGTTTGGGAAGACGCTCTGTCATATACAGACACACATACATACAGGTGTATGCATTTTAGTTCGTACAAACACACCCATATAGATAATCTGAGGTGAGTCGCAGATACACATCTATGCGTTCGAGCACACATATATACGCAATTGTCATTCTCTTCCGGTGTCGAGACTTTAGCGTTTACATAGGTAGCGATGTTCTCTTAACATGGGGCGGTCTTGACGTTTTTCAGATCGGCCGTCCGCGCCGTCAGATAAGCTCATATTTCCTCACACATGCAGACACATATACAGACGGGTACCCACACTCATTGGTCTGGGTCCACTGCCACCACATCGGATAATCGCAATAGCGTGAAACCCATGGTTACAAACTGATATCCATACAACTGAATATGTTAGCTCTGTCACAGATATTGAGCACTTTCCACTACTTACCGAGCATATAATATATATATATATATATATATATATATATATATATATATATATATATATATATATTATGCACTATATATATATATATATATATATATATATATATATATATATATATATATATATATTGTTGCATATATATTATATTATATATACCGTTACATATATATATAATATTATACACTGTTATATAATATATATTATATGTATATATGATATTATACACTATAATACAGATATACTATATACAAATATAATATATATACACTATATATATATTAGATATATATATATTATATATATATATATGTGTGTGTGTGTGTGTGTGTGTGTGTGTGTGTGTGTGTGTGTGTGTGTGTGTGTGTACGTACGAGAGTCGGATGAATAGTTCCTATGTTGACCAAAATATTCCTATAGGATGTAACCAAATGAGATTTATTTTGCAACGTAGCCTCCATTGCCATCTACACACTTCTGTTGGTGCTTGGGTCCCATTAGTGAAGAAACTTCTCTATTGTTAAAAAAAAGTCATCAACAGAAGAGAGGACGTCATCCTCACTGCGATACTTGTTATCAGCCAAATGTTTTTTTTTATGTTGAAGAACAGATGATAATCTGTTGAAACCAAATCAGGAGAATAGGGAGAGAGATTCCCGCACAGTAGCGATTGGAACTTAAGTATGATATGTTGAAGCATTGTTCCGATGAAACAAGACCGCTTTCGTCAGTTTTCCTAGACGTTTGATCTTGATAGCCTTCCGTAACTGCCTCAGCAACTTGACATAGTACTCTCCAGTGATGATGTGGCCCTTTCGAATATAACCAAAAACGCAATGCCTTTTGCATCCCATAAAAAAGGCCATCAACTTCCATGCAGATGAAACTACCTTGGCCTTCTTTGCAGGAAGTAAGAAGGAGTATTTCAAATATATGGATTGCCTGTTTGTCTCTGGCTAAATGATGAACCCAACACTTATTCTGGGTTAGGAAACATTCAATGGATTTGCCTCAAACAATGTCAGATATTCCCGTGATTTGACCAGCCTGTACCCTTTTTGATCAGTTGTCAGAAGACTGAGCAGAAACCTTCATAGTGCCAAGTTCATTGTGCAGAATATTCACAACTCTCTCACGAGATATGCTAATAGCATTGGCTATTTGATTGCTTGGAGTGTCATCCACTAATGTAGCAACCATGTCAGCATGAATGTCCTTGGGGACTAAACCCTTTTTCTGTAGATACTTGATAATACCACAATGCCAAATTTTGTCATTTTTCAAGAGTTGCTACTAGTTACATTTGAAGTCTTCTTTGAATAGTCAGATGTCAGTTTACCTGAAAAGCAATAATGCAGTTATTAATAAGAAGAGTTGAAATTAATGCATACAAGATTTCACAGTTCTAGCATCACCCTTTCATAGTCATCTTAGAAACCTTTCAGCCCACCCTCGTCTGAATGTATGATGAGGTAGGCTTCAAGGAGACAAATTATATGTAATACTGTTCAAGGTTATACATTATCATTTAGCCAAGCCAGCTCAGACATCAGTATTTGCCATGAAGATGAAACCTCCTTGGTCATGGCAGGTGATGAGGTGTGTTTCTACTGGATGGATTATCTCTCTTTCTTTGGCTCAAAGTGATAAACTCAACACTCATCTTGGGTTAAGAAACATTCAAGGAAACCAGCTAACTCTACCTCACTGCCAGATTTTCCCATAATGTGATCAGCCTGGTGCACTTTTGATCAGGAATCAGAAGATGTGGTACCCACCAAGCAGAAACCTTTGTCATGTTCATTGTACAGAACATTCTCAACTCTCTCACAGAATATGCTAATAGAATTGGCTATTTGATTTATTGTCACTCGCCTATCATCCATCACCAGGGTGGCAGTTTCAGGACATCCAGTCCTTAAGACATCTTCAAAACTCTCCCCTTCCCCCTCTTAAATTGCACTGCCAACTATTGCACTGTTAAGAAAGCTGAAACATCATTATCCCCTATCATCGTCCACTTTTTTACAAGTACTTGATAATACCACGATGACAAATTTTGTCCATTTTCAACAGAAGTCGATATTAGTTACTTTAGAAGTCAGTAGAGCGGAAATAGACAATGAAGTAAATAATAAAAAGAGTTGCAATTAATTCATGCAATATTGCACAGCTCTGGTATTACATATTCACAGTCAGGCTATGAACTTTTCATCAAACTCTCACACACACACACGCACACACACATATATATATATATATATATATATATATATATATATATATATTATAATTATTTAAAAAAATTTTTTTAAATAATTATAATTTAAACTCTACTCTTGTACAGAGCACTGTTTTTTAAAAAATAAAAACAAAACTACTAAAGAACTACGGATTATTTACCTAACGTGTTCTTTTCCTATTTTCCTATATATTTGTACGCACACACAAATATATATATATATATATATATATATATATATATATATATATATTATTTATAAATATATATATATATATATATATAATATATAAAATAAAAAATAATAAATAATAAATAAAATCTAGGATTTAGGTGAAGACAAATGAAACTAGCGATAAACCTCTACTTTTGTTCAAAAGACCGTACTATAAGCGAACTTATCTAAACCTACTGAGACTAAAAAATATAGTCAATAAAATTTCAGAGTTGGAGACCTTAGAAATGTCGTGTTGAAGTAAACGCAATTCACTCCGCCAGAAATTTGGAAACGGCAACCTGTACTGCATGGAATTCGCCCCCGAAATCTTCAATACGAACATTTCAGTGTGTTTGGGTGTTAATCTGACGACAGTGCCGAGAATTCGGAAAGAGTAGGATGAGTCTAATTATGATTACGAAGGTATGGTTGCTCGGAAAACTCACTTGTTCTGAGAAAAAAGAATTTGTTGCTGGTAGACTCAGACTCAAAACGGATGCCTACATCAAGTGCCTTGAGGAGGCTGTGCTGCCCTGGGTCAAGAGAATGGCTGCTGAAAAAACCTCTGTCTGGCAACAGGACTTTGCACCATACCACACAAGCAGGATAACGCAGTCATGGCTGTTATACAATTTCTATGAACGCATCACCCCTTACATCTGGCTACCTAACTCCCCAGACTGTAACCCCCTTGATCATTATGTGTGGAGCGCAGTTGAGCGAAAGACAAAACTCCCTGTAAGACCAAAGATGAACAGAAGGCAAGGATTACGACAGCATTTATCAACTTAAACAAGGAGACCACCCAGAAAAGTTGCAGGAGATTCTAAAGTCGTATGGAGGCCGTCGTTGAAACCAATGGCGATTTTATTGATTAAATTTACTCTTTAGTATTTCAAGATTATTAGTGTAATTTTGATAAATATATCTGTTAAAATGAGTTGTCTGTATTATTTTCATGGTTGCGTATTTTAGACGACAATTTATTCATCGCAACCTCTATAAGAAATTCGATTATGCAGAACAGATTACAGATATATATATATATATATATATATATATATATATATATATATATATGGGTGGGGGTGATAAAACTTACTCAACAGCAGTGAATTATTATTTATACATACTACTATTTCAATTCAGGGATGGTTTTGTCAGTCGATTTCTAATTAATTCCCTTGGTTGTGTAAATCTTCTTTTTCTCCCTTTCTGTTCATCGATCGATCGATCTGTGCAAAACTAAATTATTACAATCAGAATAATTTTTTCAGTGAAATTTTTCTATTGATACCAACAAATTCGTCTCTATTCAAAAACTTTCTTGTCTTTTTGCGTATCGATTTAATCGATCTGATAACTTGTCTTTCTTAATGCTCACATATACTCTTTGATTCACACATACCCTTGGAGAAAGACTGAAAATATCCTTTCTTCACCTAGATATACGCACATAGATGATAATTTGAGCTCTGGAAACTTGCTAGGACAAGCAGTCTGGAAGAATGACATCATGGATCAGTGCCCACATGTCCTATCTTATCAGGAAGCCTTGAATTTTTGATTTGGTTGAGAATATTACATCTATCTATCTATATATATATATATATATATATATATACATAAATAGATAGATAGATAGAAAAGTGAACATTGAAGTCAACACTCAGAGGTGTTGACTTCAACGTTCACACTTATATTTATCTTTACATACGCTCTATCTCTGACATTGAGCACTTTATCCCATAAATATAGTACACCTTAATACTATATTTCTTCATATATATATATATATATATATATATATATATATTTATATATATATATATATATATAGTGAGTTCTAATGGAAATAAAACAGTGTTCTATGCATAATAACAAAGCTGTGTGAAACTCAGAGTTGTATTAAACGCTGAGAAAAAATGTATATTTTATATATACATTTCATTTTTGTATGAATTATTATCAAATGATACGAATAATGAGATAAGCTAAATGATCTTTTTTTGAATAGGAAAATAAGCAACCCTTATTCTAGAATGCGTGAGCTGTCAGATTACGTCACAATATCGTAAACTCCCAGAGTCATATGAGGTACCATATGTACTGAACCCATAGCATCGGTGGCGTGTTTTACACAAGATAATCTCTTCAGTCTATTGTTGAATTTGGTGCTCTCATTCCTAGTTGTCACTTCAAGACAAGAGAGCCCTATCAGTTCTGCTATTTAAACCATATGAAGAGGAGAAATGATGAATTCATACCCCTTTCCCAAGGGTAATGATGCGAAAGTGAACGTGTCGAATTCGCTGATTTCATCTCAATCCGCACACCCTGTAAGCTAGTCTATAGAAACTATCATTCATAGATAATGTAAATACGAAGCGATAATAGTGTTTTCTTTTCGTGTTGTCTTATATGTGGATAGTTATAACACATTAATATACAATAACAAAAGTCATTTAAAATAAAACTTACAGAAATAATAAGAGTTGAATAATTTTTTAAAGGTGGAAACCGCAGAGGAAGTCTTTGGAATCCAACACGATTGTTCAAAGGAAATAAGCATAGAACGTTTGTTGAAAACTTGTTTTCGTCCATTATGGATCATTCTTAAAATTTTCGTCATTCGACCATGACGAAACAGAATACTCTTTAGATAGATAGATAGATAGATAGATAGATAGATAGATAGATAGATAGATATGAACAGAAAGCGATAGATAGATAGATAGATAGATAGATAGATAGATAGATATGTATAACCCCGCTTTGCAACGGGGTCATATCCTTTCCCCCCCCTGCACCAAATAACGCAACCCCTTTCGCCGCCGCCGCCGCCGCCGCCGCCTGCACTCAGTGGTGATTTCACGCTTAGTAGTCAGGTCCGCAGTTTCTTAGGTCGACGCTTTAACCATGGACTAACTCTGCCCTTGTCGATGCTGACGCTGATCCAAGCTGGTTGTTGGTCGCTGGCTGCTTCACTGCACACCGTCTTTACTTACGATGCGTTCTTGATCGAAGAGCAGTAGAAGATCGAAGGTCGTAATCACGCAGCGCTGGTCGAGCCGTGGCGAGTGCTATATTAAAGAAAAAAAATGTCTTCACGACTAAAATATAAAACGAGAGATTCGTGGGGTTAATCTTCACTTGGTTTATATATCTCTTGGTAGAACAAAAAAAAATAACCCTTCCTGCATCAATCTCTTTAGTGACGCTGAGCTTAGTGTAAACTTCTGGAAATCTCCTTCAAGGATTTGACGTTCTCCAAAGATTGGAGATCCTCAAAAGGACTTCAATTCTGTTGGTGACTGGGGCAAGAAATGGCTCAAAAACAAAAATACTGTCTATTACCCACCACAGAGAATCCTCCCTGGCTCCCATTCAAAATGTCTGATGCTCAACTCCACAAGAGCACCTCTTTGCGACTGCTTAGTCTCATACTGTCCGCTGAACTGAGATGGAACAAATATATTGAAATATTAGCTTCATCTATCGCAAGGAAAGTTGGTTCTCTTGTCGCGCCAGAAAGTTTTTCTCGCCCGAGGCCATCCATCAAATCTATTAATCAACCATTCGCTGTCATACTGGAATACTGCTGTAATATAAGGTCTGGTGCCCCCGCTGATCGTCTTAAGATCCTCAACAAAATCCAGAGACGGATAGGCAAGTTGATTGGCCCTGATCTGTCATCTCGTTTACAGTCGCTCTCTCACAGACGTTACGTCGCATCCCTCTGACTTTTCTACAAATACTTTCACGGTAACAGTTCCGATGAGCTACTTTCGCTGGCTCCCAAACTATATGAATTTAAACGTGCTACTTGGTTGGCATTTCAGTCCCACCCTTTTGCTGTCGAAAAGGTTAAATGTAGTCGTCTTTTCTACTTCAATATCTTCATGTATCGCACTTCCTGTCTGTGGAACTCCCTTCCTTTTACTTGCTTCCCTGATAGCTATAATCTCCAACTATTCAAATGCAATGTCAATCGACATCTCCAGATGCCTTGATCTATTCCCCCACCCTTCTCTTCATCCTTTCACGCCTCTTTACTCTTGCTCCCAACTCTCTGTAACCCCTTGCGTGCTAGTGGCACTCCCGCCTTGCTTGGGGTGAAAAGCTTAAAAAAAAAGCTGGGCACAATGTCTTGGAATCAGGAATTTTTGTTGGCAGCTAGCGTGGGTCTCAAAGGCACTAAATGTGGAATCATTTGCTTATATGCACTTCGGTCCAAAACTGGCGTAGGCCGAAGGGTTCTGGGGGTTTGTTGATTCTTTAATTTCCATTAATTCAAATAAATTGTTTTCTTTTTTCCCTATTTCTGCTTTCTTAATCAATTTTCCAAATTTAGAGAATTATCCACCTTCTTTGAGAGTATTCACAGAGATTACTTCTCCCTTAACTTCAACCTGCCCTATTTCCCAACTCGCACCGCTATTTCGCACAGTCATGGCAAAATTCTGACACTTCCTCTCTCATTCTCCGTATTCAACCTCAACTCACTTCACAGAGCATGAATAACTGCCTTTGTGACAAATCTATTTTTTTAAATACGTACGAGAAGGGGCGGAGTTCCATTCCAGCCATTAATTTTAATTCTCCGAATCTTTTCCTGGAACCATCTCTGTCCAGAGAAGATACAAACCAGACCCCCTATGACAGAATTTGTTTTCATACTTCTTGCCTTAATCGTGCAGTACATCCGATCCATTAAGAGAAATTCGTTCTCTTTTTAACCTTCAGAGCGATAGATAAAAATTATTTCCCAAATCTGTTTTCGTCAATAAACATATATTTGTTTACCTAAATTCTCAACAAAAAGACTCTGTTTTCTATCCCGGGGTCGGTCGATCGGCATATTCAGCGAAAACTCAAACCAGATCAGCTTTCTTAACTTGACATGATTGATTTTCAAAACTTCAAACCTAACAAAAAGGGTTCGTTCTCTGTTTTCGTCAAGACAAATATATGTGTTTGTCTAATTTCTCAAGAAAGAGATGAAACCATTTCTCCGAATCTCTTTTCGTCTGCATGTAAGAAAAATAAACTTTTGTAAGAGAAGAAATCCAGACGATACTCTCTCTCTCTCTCTCTCTCTCTCTCTCTCTCTCTCTCTCTCTCTCTCTTTTCTCGCTCTTACTGAGCGTCGCAATTCTGCCCTCTTTGACTATTCTTACCACTCTGTGGTAGCTATTGATATCCAATTCCAATCCTCTAATAATTTTGGAACTCTCCATCTACAAGACCTCTTTCCCTTACCAGTATGTTCATTAGGACTCACACAGTGATTTTCTCAGTGACGCCCCTTGGACTGACATCATTCAACTCCCAAGTGAAAATTGCGCCACTGGGGTTTCGTTTGGGTCAAAGCCGGCATGGGCTCTTTCCTTCCATCTTGGAAATACCAGGTAAAACCTCAATCTTCTCCATGATTGCCACCAGCATATATATATATATATATATATATATATATATATATTTATTTAGGTTAAACCTTCTCTTTTCCTGCTTAGAATGAATGTTTAACTACTTCAGTGGCTCAGTGTCACATATGAGCAAAAAGAGATAGATAGATAGATAGATAGATAGATAGATAGATAGATAGATAGATAGATAGATAGATAGATACGAAAATACTAGCAAACCCAACATAAAAAGCAGACCCCAGTTATACCATCACTTACACGAATGTAAAGGGTCTACGTTCCAACTTTCCAGAAGTGGAATTCTGCCTTCTTTAGTCTAAAACGATTTCCTATTCCCGTCTGAAGCAGATAACAATGCCTCAATCCCATTACAGGAGATCACAAACCCGGGTTACTCACCCATTGTAACAAAATACGACCACCTAAATCACCATGGTCAAGGGCTCGATGCCTACATCAAGGACGGGTTCCCCTGTGGCAGGGTCACAAAAACGAGAAGCCTGATTTCACGTATATGTGTTTCTGCGTGGAACTTATCCATGGTATTACATTCGTCTTTGCCCTATATCGTCTTCAGGACGAATAGTCGGTAATCTTAGATCGAATATCAGGCAGTATTGACAATATCCCCACCGAATATCCCTCGGCCAACTTTCACCACAAAGAGTGGCTCGTCCACACTAACAAAACCGATGAGGAAGGCAGATATTGCAGAGACTTCTTCATCGCTTATGATCTAACCCAGATCATTGAAGAACCCACCTGAGTCCAGGGTGTGATGATATTTTTCTTACATCCTCCTTGATAAATGCTTAGCAAAATTTCTGTCCCCCATTGGCATGTCAGATCATTTCCTGGTCAGGGTCCTGTGACGGTTACACACCTGGCCCAGGGTCGGATCCTTTGGTTACGGCGCCAACGGTGACGTCGCTCCTCCTGGTCGCTCCTCCTGGGTCCAAGCGTGCCGCTCCAACCCCTTGGTCAGATGATCACCAGCCTCGCCTTTCCCGACTCGCTTCCAATACCTGGTCACTAAAGCAACTGTACCGATCTCCGGTCTGTCTACCCACGCTGTGTTTAGATCTTAGACAGACGGGACCAGCAGGGATTGGGGCCGATACAAGTTGAGTCCGACGGGGGTGGCAAAACACAAATAAAAGAGAAAATAAACTCACGAGACAAAAAATTACTGATAAAAAAGGGTGACAACCTTTTATATCTAATGTCCGTTACATAAAGAAAAATTGTTCTTATTTCCCGACCCGCTCTGTGGACTATGGCACCAAGCTTCTATCACACAACCTAAAGATTTCGAATTGCCTACTCTTTAGAATTGTGTATGTCGGAGTGTTGTTTGGTTCGACACTGGGGCTAATTTCTATCGATCATTCGCAGTTGATTCTTCCCTTCGACTTGAGTTGTATTTCTTCTTCTTCGTCGACTTAGGCTGGAAGTTCTCTTGTCTTCGACTTGGGTTGTATTTCTTCTTCTTCGTCGACTTAGGCTGGAAGTTCTCTTGTCTTCGACTTGGGCTGGAAGGATCTCTTGCCGCAACTCAGCCGCAACTCTCTGTCGTCCGAGGTGATCTCTTCTCGCTGCCGTCCGGGGCTGAACTCTTCTGTCTTCGACTTGGGCTGGAAGGATTTCTTGTCTGAGGATTCTTTTGCCCGCAAAGGGGCGAGTGAATCGGGCCTGATGCCCGCGTTCAGGCTCTTTCCCTGCCCGCGGTTCAGCTGCAACTCCACTCCAACTGATTTCTGTCGACTGGGGTCCTGCTTTTATTGACGCCGCAGCAAACCGGGGTGGGTCTGTCGGCGTCAGGGTTTTCTCGATAATTCCAAAAGTCGCATTATTTTTTGACTTCCCATTATCGCTATTGTTTTCACCCCTACTTCCTCACAGTGCCTTTTGTGGGGGAGGTGCACACCCATCTCTTAGTCTCTTGTATGTCAGGTGACCGTTTTTCGACCAATGGTTCCTGATCGGGCATTTCTTTCTCTTCTTTTCTGCAGATCACGTGACCGTTTCCGACCAATTGTTATTGATCGAGCATCCTTTCTCCTCCTTTCGGGCGTGGTTACATCGTTCTTGTTTTAAAAACAAAATCAATTTTGCCTTTTCTGCACGTACGAAAAATGACAATCTTGGCTTTCTCTCACCTGGGCTCTGTCAACCAGCCCGCCGCTAATTAGTTGTGACTTCAGGAAAGAATATTGTCGCCATCTGTGATCTGAGACAATCGTTTTTTCACCTCTTGTTTTTTGTCAGACCCGGCAGTCAGAAAATCTTAATTTATCTGAATTGAAAACATCTTTCACTCGTCAATGTGGGGTTCTAATTTTTAACAGGTCAGAATCTGTATACCGTTCCACCGGTCACTCCCTCAACCCAAAAAGACACTTTTTTTCTCTGATTAAGATTTCGTTTTCATTGTTCCCAAAATTTCCCTTTATCCAAATTGATAAGATGTCTTTCTACGCAAAAAGTAGGCTAGATGCTTTGACCGATATCTGGTTTTCATCAAGCGGCCCGTTTTGATATCATGTCTTTTCCCTTTCTTTCTTTTTATTATTTCTAATTCTATTCTTCCAATTGTCTTTAAAAAATTCGGTCAACATAAGATATCTTTCTGACTCATGTTTTTGTTAATGACCGCTTTTTGTATTTCTCGACCTCTCTCTTTTGCTTTTTCTCTTTTCCTCTCTTTCCCCTTCCTTCTTCTTTCCTTAGGATCGTCTAAGTACAATCTTAGTGAATTATTTTCAACTCAATTATTTTCCGTTTTAAAAAAAATCAACAACCTGTTTAGTAAACCGAGTAAAAAAAAAATTAAATCATATTTCTATGAATATTTCTAATAATGCAAGGTGCCACAGTCCGGATTGACTCCAAACCAATGATATCCCTGATTTACCGTTCCATAGAAAGGTTTTTGCTAGGCGGAGGAAAACTGGGACTGTTTTCGGTCCTATACGACGGAGGCTAATCTCCTAACTTTCTTCAATTATGCTGCCTATAAAACTGCTAACTTAATGGATCATTTCTGAAATGGAGTGTTTTATATCCACCAAAAAAGTTAAAAGAAGAAACAAACTGCCATCCCTGGTTCACCCCTGAATACGCTGCAGCCATGGCTCACGGGAACTACTACTTCAAAATTTATCGCATAGTGCTACATAGTCTGGCCCTCACGTCTTTCAGAACCGCCCTCAATCCTTGTAAGAGAGTCATGGAAAACGCAAAGTGCAGTTTCAGCAGGTCAGATCTTCACGGCTACGACCCGCCATGCCACTTACATAATAGCAAACCACCCACCTTGCCTCTATATTCCATCGGCGAGAAGCAAGTTCCACTCGAGCAGCTTCTTCCCGCGAACCATTGCCCTATGGAACAGAGCCCCTAGAGGATGTTTCCTCGACCATTACAATCTCAATCTGTTTAAGTCTAGAGTCAACCGTTATCTTCCCCTCCTATCCATATAAACTACCACCTATCGTAATCCTCAACCCTCAATTGACCGCTGGGGCTTGTATAGGATGAACTTTAGTGCAAAATAAAAAGGAGATAGATAGATATGAAAAGAAAGAGATAGATAGATAGATAGATAGATAGATAGATAGATAGATAGATAGATAGATAGTGTTGTGGTAGGATCCACCTAATTTGCATAGTGGAGTACCGACCATATAAATATGGTTGGTACCGGGAAGAGAGGGAGGAATCAAGAGATTCAATCCAGAGACTCTGCCCGACTGCGACTCAGTCAACACATTCTCCAGGAACGGTCTTACCAGGAATATACAAAAGACTATATATAAATATTGTGTACACTTTCTTGTTTCAATTCATTTTGTTCTAAGTACATTTTGTGTTACATTATTATTCCATGCATTAGTCAAGTTTCAACAGATAGATAGATAGATAGATAGATAGATAGATAGATAGATAAAAATAAACAGAAAAAGAAAGAAAGAAAGAAAGAGAGAGAGAAAGAGAAAGAGATAGCTAACTCTTTTTTATCTATCGCTACCCCCTCTTCTCAGGACTATCGAAAAGGCACTTTCCCTCCACCCATTTAGGAACATCTTTGTCTTCGGTGACTTTAAAGCTCACCACAACGCTTAAACATTCTAAAAGAACTGATGTTGGGGATTTTCAGCCATTAAATTTTTCCATTGCCCAATCCCTTATTCAAATCGTGGACTTCCTACTTGTTTTTCTAGCAAAATCGAGCAACAGGCTTCTCTACTTAATTTATTTCTTACTTCCTCTTCTCGCTCTTACTGAGCTTCGCAATTCTTCCCTCTTGACTATTCTTACCACTCTGTGGTAGCTATTGATATCCAATTCCAATCCTCTAATAATTTTGGAACTCTCCATCTACAAGACCTCTTTCCATTACCAGTATGTTCATTAGGACTCACACAGTGATTTTCTCCGTGACGCCCCTTGGACTGACATCATTCAACTCCCAAGTGAAAATTGCGCCACTGAAGTTTCTTCTTGGGTCAAAGCCGGCATGGGCGCTTTCCTTCCATCTCGGAAATACCAGGTAAAACCTCAATCTTCTCCATGATTGACACCAGCATTCTCGGCTGCTATAGCATACAGGAACCACTATTTCCGGCTATACCAGCGTGACGGCTCTCGTCGCAGCAAGTGTCTCTTCCTTGCTGCTCGCAATAAATCTAAACGAGCCCTCGAAGAAGCTAGGTCCCTGTTTTCCGAAAGAATGAGACACAGCATAGCCTCTAACAACTTTGCCCCTTGTGATTACTGGCGGATCTGCAATAGGGCATTAAATAAGTGTAAGGTCTCTATTCCTACCCTCTTTAATCAATGTGAGGTGTTATCGTACTCTAGTGATAAAGCTGAATGCTTTGCCCGTAAATTCTCAAAATCTACTCTTGACTTATGTAGAATATCCCTACCTAACTTCCGTTCTAGAACTGAGTCTCTATTGATTGATATTCATGGTTTCTATTATCTCTAACCTAAAATCCTCACAGAGGATGGAGACTCGATGATATCCCTGTAATAGTTATTAAGAAGTGTGCTTCTGAACTGGCTCCTGTTCTCTCTAAACTGCATAATAAATGCCTCATTGCTTCTTGATTTCCTGCCTGCTGGGAAGTCCTTATCTGTTGTTCCACTTTTTAAGGAATCTGATGAGCCATTCCATCTATCGTCCTGTTTTCTACCTGTTTTTGGAAAACTCCTAGAGACCCTAATCAATGCCAAATTGGTTAATCATCTCTTATCACAGGACCTTTTCTCAGACAAACAATATAGCTCTAGTTTCTCAAGGTCAACTGCTGATGTACTGATAATATTTGCGGAAAGGGTTTATCATGCTCCAGATAAAAACAGTGAAGCCCGGGTTTTTGCATTGAAAAAAAGCTGAAAAGTTACAGTGTCAGAATGTTTGAAGCTATCTTCCAGGAAAGTGACATTGAGTCTTCTCGAACTTATGTTCTCTGTTGATATGAAATGGAAAGACTCTATTGAATCCATTGCTAAGTCAGCTGCCAAGAAAGCCGGTTCACTATGACGGGCGAGACCATTTTTAAGAAGCTGTCTTACATATCTATGTCTACCATTCGTCCATTCTTAGATTTTGCTGCCACATATGGTCCGGAGCCCTTGCTATTTACCTTGAGCTCCTTGACAAGAGCCAAAGAAGAATCTGCAATATTATTGGGCCTGATCTGGCGGCTCAGCTCCATCCACTTTCCCACCGCCGTAAGGTTGCCTCTCTGTGTCTTTTCTAGAAATAATTTCATGTTAATTGTTCAAATGAGCTTTTCGTTATGGTACCTAGAGTTTTTTTTATTTAAACACAGCACACAACAGGCATCAAGATCTGATCAATTTACAGTTGAGCTGGCTAGATGTAGCCGTAAGTTCTATGCTAATAGTTTCTTCTCTCGCACTTCTCGCTTGTGGAACTCCCTTCCAGCTTCATGCTCTCCAGCCAACTTTAATCTGCAAAAATTGAAACGCAACGTCAATTGCTATCTACTGTACTCTCTTCTCTTTCTGCTCGTCATTA